TCTAAATGAACTTCAAATTCAAATAAGTGGGCTCATTTCCTGAATTTACTTATGAAACTATTGCATGGTAAAAATAATAAAATATCATGCCATTATCATTAAATTATATTAAAAATTATATTTTTTTATTGCTGTGTAACAATTCTATTTCGTATATTGACCCCTCTTACCAGGCCAAATAGAATACTGATAATAACAAATATAAAGAGAAATACTTTAAAGCAGTTGAATAAATAATAAACTGAATACTTGTTTCGCAACGAACTAGCTGCTTTAAATACATTGGCCATAAAATACGAATTGAAGGTTTAGAGGATTTGAATTCTTAAATTTTTCGATTTTTAGTAAAATATTTCGTAAAATATAATAATGTACTGTTCATACATACATACACATATATATATGGATATACATTTATGTATGCATTTCTTAGTTTAAAAATTTTAATATTCACGTTTTTTGTTATTTTTGTTTTTGTTTTTTATGCACGTATTTTTCCACATGCTTCAACTTTTATTTATGTACATATGTATGTATATCGAATTGTTACTATTTAAAAGACCCTAATATAAGTATTATATAAGTGCCGGTTTTTTGATTTTCTTATCACTATTCCAGTCACTAAAATTAAACATGAATATATTTACATAAACATTCTTAGAAATATTATGTGTAATGGCATGTCTAAGCAAAGAGAGCGGTTTAAGAGTACACTCATAACTTGCTGTTGAATTGTGCACACGTGCAATGTCTCTCTCTCCCTATCTCTCCTTCTATTCAAGTACATTTAAGCGCGTTGCCAACCACTTGTACATTGAATAAATTTAATAAAAAGTATTGTGGCGAACACTATGAATATATTCATTTCAGAATAGAAAATTGTTTTTCTTACAGCTGCTACTATGAAATATTAAGTAGATGAAAAAAGAAAGCAGCTTTGAATCGCTTAGTGAGGTATTTTTTTGCATTTTCTGAGAAAATTTGCTAAAGTATATTATATCTATATATTTGTACATAATTTTTATACCATCGAAAAGTAGTGATATCAACTAAGAAAAATAAACTCAACGCCTTAAAAAAACAGATATTCTTTTACGTGAAAATTTTTGAATGAAAATTAGAGTTTTGCCGATACTAAGTAAAAATAAGGTGGGAAAATAAATAGTGGTAAGTTGCCACCAAAATTCGTGAAAAAACCTCTTTTGTTTTTAATAAATATAAACAATTAAAAAAAAATAAAAAAACTTTTTTTTTTTTGTTTGAAAAAATAAATAAAAAATTTTAATTTATGTGAAAAAGCTGTTAATACAAGAATTGTAGACCCTTGTACTACCAACAACTTTTCTATAAAAATATTTTTCGTAGGACTCGTAGTTTTGCCGAAAATCGAGATAAGCCTTTATATAGTTAAAAATTCAACCACTGCCTTACCCTTCCTCTTTGTGACCTCAGATAGCACTTAAATTATTTTTTCTGTAATTTTTGTAATATTGCCTTCCCTTTAGAGTTTTTCAAAATAATTTGTAAAAAACATTTGCCTTAAACCCCCAAAATAAGCCTCAGTTACTGCGATTATCTCGTTAATATTGCTAAATTTCTTTCCAGCGAATATACTCATGAGGTCTAAGCACAAAAAATAATTACTAGGGTCCAGATCTGGAGAATGCGATGGATTCTGATAGGAAAATATTTTCTTCTCTTATTTCGAATTTGTCTTTTTTCATGATTTTGGCTTTCCAACGATCCAATTGTTTTGGTTGGATTGTAAGTTTGCGCGGCAGTCACTTCACATACCCAAATATTAATTAACAATATATATGGTACAATACGTTCGTTTGATATCTTAGAAGTATCAGATTTCTCTCGCTCTCTCAAACAACTACACTTTACAGGCATTTTAAATTATTTTGGGTACGTTTTTAATGTTTTCGTCGGTAACAGCCTCATTTCGCCTCATTCAGACAGCTGTCAAATTTGTATCTTTTACAGGTAGGGGCTAACTAAAAATCATATAGATTTAATGTTAGTAGTAACATATATGAACTTTTCAAGCCACCTGTTATTATTAGTAAAGAGGCATGGGAAAACAGAAAAGGAAGGTTCCCGGGCTCAGTAAAAAAAAAAAAAAAAAAAAAAACACATTCTCTGTAAGCTCCACAGAAATCAGAAGACTTAAGCAACAAACTAGAACGTAGCGATTTATAACAAGAAAAGTCATTAGAGCTGATTATTTGCATAAAGTTCATTTTTTTTGTCAGATTGGGGGTCAAATGCAAATAAAAACGGCGAAAATAGGAGTATACTTCCGTTGCCTTTTGATAATGATATATTTAATGTATTTTTATTCTTTAATCCTGTAAATTTTTTCCAAATCATTTTCATTAAATATATATTTTGTTTACACCTTTCAGGCACTATGATACCGAAATCCGGCGGTGATTATGCATATATTGGCACAGCGTTCGGACCATTGCCCGCTTTCCTGTATCTGTGGGTGGCGCTACTGGTGCTCGTGCCCACCGGCAATGCCATAACGGCGCTCACATTCGCACAATATTTGCTGCAGCCATTTTGGCAGTCCTGCGACGCGCCCATAGCCGCGGTACAACTGCTGGCAGCGGTGATGACATGTAAGTCCACAATGACAAATCATATAAAATAACTGTTTTTCATTCTATCCCCCACTCACAGGTATACTAACTGTCATCAATTGCTACAATGTACGTTGGGTGACACGCGTCACTGACATCTTCACCGGCACCAAAGTATTCGCGCTGCTTGTTATTGTTGCCGCTGGCGCTTGGTATCTCTTCGCCGGTCATACCGAACAGTGGGATGAACCGATGCGCGGCACTTACACAAAACCCGGCATGATAGCGCTGGCCTTCTACAATGGACTCTTCTCATATTCTGGTTGGAATTATTTGAATTTTGTCACGGAGGAGTTGAAGGATCCCTATAAGAATTTACCGCGTGCCATTTGTATTTCCATGCCTGTGGTGACACTCATCTATGTGGTGACCAATATCGCATACTTCTCGGTGCTCTCACCCGAAGAGATGTTATCATCGGATGCCGTCGCTGTGACGTTCGGAGATAAGATGCTTGGCTTCATGTCCTGGCTAATGCCATTCTTTGTGGCCTGCTCCACGTTTGGTTCGTTGAATGGTGCCATATTTGCTTCGTCACGTCTCTTCTTCGTTGGCGCACGTAACGGTCATCTGCCAGCGGCCATTTCACTCATCAACGTCAATTGTTTAACCCCAGTGCCCTCGCTGATATTTTTGGTGCGTGAGCTGCGGTTTGATCTAACTTTATTATTTACTTTTGTTATTTGCTTCTAACGTGTATTCTTTATCTCTCCTGTAGTGTGCCATTACCCTGGTGCTGCTCTTCATCAGAAACGTCTATTCGCTCATCAACTATGTCAGTTATGTTGAGGCGCTCTTCACACTACTCTCAGTGTCGGGCTTATTGTGGTTGCGTTATAAGCAGCCTAAGACCGAACGACCTATCCGCGTCAATCTCGTGCTACCTGTACTCTTCCTGCTGACCTGCTTATTCTTAGTGATCTCGTCCGTTTTGGAGTCACCCGTCGAAGTGGGTATTGGCACCGCAATTATACTCTCTGGCATACCCATCTACTACCTGACGATACATCGACCTGTCAAGTGGCTAACGAATCTGTCACAAGCGATAAATCTCTGGTGTTCGAAATTCTTTATTTGTATGCCGAATCAGGAAAAGTTCGATTAGTTGCTAAGCTTAAAATACTAAATTAGTTTTATAATAAAATCAAGTCCACGCAAGCGGCGAATGCATATACAAATTGTGACACTATCTAGGGATACATATGGAACATATAGTCGATGCTTTAGGTATATTGTACAGCCTATAAGATATACATATATATTTAACTAGAAATACAGTGCCTAAAATAGGCCATAGTATCATGTATGTGCCTTCAAAAAACCAATTTTGAAAGTTAAAGGTCGTTCTAAATTGATATTGCTCCAAAATTGAATGAATATATAAATAACAAGCTCATATATTTGTATAAGATTTGTACAAAAGTAAACTCAAATAGAATTTAAATTCATTTGGACTTAAAATAAATATTTTTTGACTTTACGTTAAGTAAATATACCTACTTCTAGCGAATGCAACTAATTCCTATTGTTTTTCCATATATTGTCTTCACAGAAAAGTGTATGAATAGTTATCCGAAGGTTTATCCCAAAGCCATTCCAAAATATTTTTCAAAATGTAATATTCTGCCAAGGAAAGTAAAAAAAAAATAAAACTAAATACTTGTTTAATACATACACTCTTACGTAAAGCTTTAGACGGAAAAAGCTCTAGTCGCCTGAATTTTGAAAAGTGCATGTCAAAATGCAATGAAAGTAAATGAAAGTAATGTACGGGCGTTCGCAGCTTTCGGAATGCCTTAAGTGGGCTGAAACTTTCAAGCAATTGAAAAGTAAAAGCCAGCAGAAAACATTTCTGCTATAACTTTAAATACGCGCTTTAACATTTAGCTTTCGCAAAGCTTTCACAAAAGTTAGTTTGAAACCTATCATAAAACTTTGTTAGTGCAACTTTAATTACGCGCTCTAACATTTAGCTTTCATAAAGCTTTCAAAAAAACACCAGTCGGTAAAATTGTCAAAGCTTTCACAAAAGATATATTGTAAGCTATCATACAACGTTAGCACTATAACTTTTACTAAGTACTCTAACATTTAGCGTTCATAAAGCTTTTGAAAAAGCTCCATTCGGTTGAAGTTGTCAAAGGTTTCGAAAAAATTATATGGAAATCTATCTAAGAACTTTTTTACTATCGGGTGATTTTTTTGAGGTTAGGATTTTCATGCATTAGTATTTGACAGATCACGTGGGATATCAGACATGGTGTCAAAGAGAAAGATGCTCAGT